TTATTATTGTGTCGTTGGGAAAGGTTGTGTAGACCTCGTACGACGATCGACGACACGGGTATATATGCAGATAATAGTAATAATAATAATAATAATAAAATATCTATAGTCTTGCCACTATACGACATAGCCTCATGGAAATGGTGGTTTTCAGTTTTGTGTGTCAATGTTACACACGTACCTACCGCCAAAGAGCACACGTCAATTTCACGGCAAATCGTTTTCGACGACAATAATGACTGAGATATAACGTCACACGCGACGGATAAAACGCAGGATGCGTATATTATATGTTACAGGTACCTAGGTATATTATAACAGTATACCACGACCGCAGTCGATCGCCACCGTCGTGTAACATTTCAATAATATCACACTAAAAATATTTGTCACACGTTATATTATTACCTATTATGTATGTATATTATTAAAGTCCCGAAATAATTCATAAGCACTCACACACACACGACACACACATGATCATGATATTACGAACCTATATGTAAATATAATATACTTTTGTTTCGGCGAAAGTGACCCTAAAACCACGTTTAATATACTCACATTATATTTACATTTTCTTCTGAGTATCYGGACGAAGGATTATAAATATATTTCTATTATATAATATATACATATTTTATGAACTGTATTCGACGAGTATATTATTATACCACGCCGGACTAATGAACTTTTACATCCGATCAATTATTATTAATATTATACCTCTACGATTGTGGAATTATATTTTTTACCTCTCCGTGTTTTTAACGACAATGCGCGCGTGTATGTAATAAATATAAAAATCACGAATATGGTTTGCGTGTGCGCACGCGTATAAATACTCGTTATTGATGTACGAATAATCACACTCGGTATTTTCTACTTTCATTTTTGGCGACAAACAAATCGTTAACGACACGTTTTCGATTCGATTTACTGCGCTACTATACAGCTGTAATAATGTATAATAATATTATATTATTATTATGTATAGGAAGCGTAAGACGGGAAACGCATACCTACTGTTACGTGACCAGTTTTCTATAAGTYTATACGCTGAACATCGCGTTTTTGACGATTTTCATGTCGAGATTCATTGCAGCAGACGACGAGTTTTATCTCATGGATATATATATATATATATATAATAAAACGGGTGTTTAGTGTTGTTGTTTATCGTTTATGGCGGTGTTGTCCATACACTTCTCCGGGTCCGGAATAAAAAATTAATCTGAAAATAAAATGATTTTTAATATATTACATAATAATATGTAAAAAAAAATACTGGTAACATCCACTGATTTAAGTCTCCCACACGTGCGTATATACGGATCGGATACAGACCTTTTCAACATCCCATTCCCGTCATCATTATCGCCGTGCCAAAAATGGTACTGTTATGAAACTACCCTATCTAATATATTATGCATATAAAATATTATAATTTCGAACGTAGATTGCTGACGTCTTCGTCGCGGTGACAGCGATCGTTTCGTAACATAAAATTTGCAATATTGTTCAAACGCACGCAATGATAATGATATTATGATCGATGATTTTTATCCCTTTACATTTTACACCTCGTCTAGAGGTCTAGATGACTCAAAAATCTGATGCKCCCATTTCCATCATGTGTCCGACTGGCATACACAACAATGGCGATACGTTTATAAATATTATATCTTAACGACAACCGAAAGCGGTTTGCAACTCCAAACTCTGTATTTGTTTATACCTATATATACAATGTTTAAGTCATCTACACAACAAAATAATTTGTTTACATACGATGTTATATAATTTATTTTGAACGCCATATCGTACGATTTTTAAACACGGCTATTCGATTTCATACAAACGACTAATATAACAACAGTGTGAAATCGTAGGGCTGCTATATATATATATATATATATATATATATATAGAAATGGGTTCCCAGGAGGCAGACGCGAAACTGGCGATGTGCTTCGATGGACTCACGTTCGTTCGCAATAATTCTCGAACGACGTCGTGTACTTCGCACATACGTATACCATA